AGTGATGGAATTTGCCGAGATATTTAAATTGATAAGTGTTTCCATGGAATTTATTAGTGGTTGACAGCAATGGCGTATCGCACTATAATCAAAAGGACGAGAAATTAATTTAGGAAACGAAATATCAAAAAAAAAAAATGTTGCAATTAATTTTGCCCAAGTTATATCGAATAAATCAATCTCTTTCAAACTTACAAGTCTTTCAAAATTCTTTACAGTAACGGTAATAGCGATCCCACATCAAAATTATAGTCAGAGTCACATGAAATATCACATGATATATATGATCTGTAAAATCGGGCCAAAAAAAAAATTGGTATAAATCAAAAATTTAAAAAAAAAATATATTCCTCCCTTTTCTTTGGTGTATAAACAAGAAAGATCTATTGAAAAGACTTGTTTCGCCATGGTATGTTTTTTTTTGATATTATATTTCATTGGGGCGTTTAGAAGTTTAATAAAGTTTGGAGTGTTGGCTTTTCTTCTTTTTTATAATTTAGATTTAGATTAGACAAATTATGTTAAATTTGGGTATAGTTGTTATAAGAGGGATGTTTTGAAATTATTTCCTTGTTCAGAAGGTAAATTTGATACTAATGGAAGTATATTTTAATTGAGGTTATTCGGGATAAGTTAATGATGATATGAATTTCAATCAATTAAATAGATCAATAGATATATATCCATTTAACTTTATTTAACATGACAACCCATAACTTTAATAATAATAAAATTTGTAATTTATATCATTCTAGCCATCCCACAAAACTTTCAGAATTAAACGAGTTCTCGGTAAAAAACAAAAGCAAAATCGTCCAATTCCCCAATGGATTCGTCTTCGTACTGGAAACACGATCCGGTAATTATATAATCAATTAATATCATGCTTTAAAACAATCGATTCAGAAAATATTAATTATTTCTTTTATTTAAATCACAGATATAACGCTAAACGTCGTCATTGGCGTCGTACTAAGCTCAACATTTAAATTTCTGCAGAGATATATTCAAATTTTCCATTATTAATTCAAAAAAAAATTTTTTTATATCTAGTTAATGTTTTAAAGAAAGTTATTTAGGCAATGAGATTATCTTCTATGCTTGTATTATGAATTAATTAATTTGATCAAAAAATTAATATATAACTTTGTGAGAAGGATCAAAAAAAAGTCCCTTTATTAAAACATCAAATTTTTTTTTTTTTAAATGTTCATGATTAATAAATATTACCAATGAATTAGTATTGTATCAATAATACAAAGGTATTATTACCATTTAAGATGGAAAATATTTTTTTTTTTTAAAAAAAAGAAAAAAAAATGGATGCATGCTAATGTATTTTGTAAATATGGAGTGATTCAAAAAGTGAAGACTTCAAATAAAGAAAATATGCTATGAACAAAATAATAACGAGGAATAAAATAATAAATACAAGAAATAAAAAAAGATTTTTTTTAAAAAAAAAAAGTATCATTCACTTGGGAAAAAAATATTTCCCTAAATTTTAGGAAAGAACCTCACACAAAACAGCCCTTTCATCCATAAATTTATTTGATTCAAATTGCATAATCCAATTTCTCGTCGTTTCAACGTTACATTCAGGTTAAATAAATAATCAGTTAAACGAATTTATGAATTTAATTTAAAACAAGCAATAAATACATAAAAGATATTAGTTACGGAGAAAACCTTTTCCAATTTCTTAGAACATTTCACCATAATTAGCAACCAGCAATTCATTTATTTTGGTTACCCAATCATTAGCTGTATTATTCGGATCTTCAAAATAATACGTTTTTCGAGGCTATAAAAAGAAAAATAAAAGTAATAATTATTGCCAAACGTGGACAATATATCATATAAGTAAAAATACAAATAAGTTAAATAAATTACTTTAGACTTTATGGTTTTGAAAAAAAATATTCCAGATTTTATCATAAATTAAGTATAAAAGTGTAAACGATGTCAAAAAGAGCTTTTTATGCAATTACAAATATAGACAAAACATACCGTATGAATGAAGAAGTTTCTTTTGTTTTTTAATTCAACAACCATCCTAGAACTCCAATATATTTCTCCTTTTTGTGTATTCTTTTCCTGATCGACATATATTAATCTCGGAAAATCAGTCAAAATCAATATGCGTTTTTTGGAAAAGAATCCTTTGCGTTTATTGATTGGTCCCGTCTTAATAATTAGTTCAGATTTAAGAAGGAACGGAATCCTTTTTTTTTTTTAAAAAAAAAAGCAATGAATATTATGATTACAATAAAAAATGATGATGTAATCTAATTAAAGATTCTTACCATTGTGAAGATGTCCTCTTTTGCTCTTCCAACTTCTTAAACTTTTCGGGATCTACTTTATCTGATGCGTCATCCCCACCCGCCCAACTTTCTAATCTGAATGGGTCATTTTGTTTAAGACCGGTAGCAATGGGACTACTGCAAGTTTCCCCACTACGACCAGAAAGTTTGCGTAAATATGTATTTGTAGTTGTTCGAAGCTCTGGATCATTATGTTGTGGATTTGGTGGAAGATAAGGAAGTAAACGAGGTGCAGGATGTTGCCATAATGCATCCCAATCTATGCCATTGAAGAAAGGATGAGCTTTTAGTTGATCAATTCCAACTTGACCGCCGGAACCAAGTCGTTCTAATGGATTTAGTACCTATTATTGAAAATGGTTATCAATTAATTGTAAAATACATTATAAAAGTAATGAATTCTTATTAAATAAATATACCAATAATTTTTGAACTAAATCTCGTGCGACTGGAGGGAATCCTTCGGGGAACGAATAATCTAAATGAACAATTCTTTGAAAAGTCATATATTCATTGGTTCCCTTAAATGGTGGACGTCCTGCTATCAATTGATATATAATACAACCAAGTGCCCAAAAATCCGAACTGCCACATTATAAAGTGCCAAAATATATTATTATTAAAATGAGAAAATATCAAACAATTTAACAAATTTTTTTTTTCATACTAAACCTTTTACACGCTGCCTTTTCTTTTAATAGCTCAGGACTAACATATTCTGCAGTACCGACAAACGAATTGGCCCTATCATCTATTACGAATTATGACAAAATGAAGAATCAATACATTAAACTTCTAAACAATTTAAATAATTCTAATACTCTAACCTTTCTCACCATCTGCGTTTTGTTCTAATATTTTTGCTGTACCAAAATCGGTGACTTTGATATGCATTTTGTCATCTAATAATATACTTTAATAAAATAATTTGTTTGATTAGTGAAGACAGCTTTTTTTTTTTTTTTTTAAAAAAAAAAAAAAAAGCCATGCAAACAATACTCACTTTTCAGGTTTGAGGTCTCTACCAAAAATATAAAAGTTAGTTACTAATTATTAACAAATTAAATAAATTTACCTTAATAAATTATTCGTTACCTATGAATTACACCCTGTGAGTGCATGTACTCTATTGCTGAAATAATCTGTGCAGCATAAAACTGTGTGCAATTAATGTCAAAAGAGCCGAGCTAAATATAAAATATCAATTCTACGTGTTAAATGATTTAAATGATTTGAATAAAAGTAAGAAAGTTATATCGATTGAATTATTGACAGTTTAATCACCTTCTTGATGAAAGTTAAAAGTTCACCATTTTTTGCTTGGTCTAATATGAAATCTAATGAATAAAAAGTTAAGGACATTCCAAATATGCGATAACTAAATAATAATTAAAAGAAAAGAGACGCGACCAAACATAATAAAAAAAGATACATAAACTATCTGGATCTTGGAATGTATAATAAAGTCGTACAATTCCAGGGTGATTCATTTTATTAAGCGTATTCTTTTCAATGTTGACATATTTGACTTTTTTTTCTTTAATTATGTGCTTCTTATCAAGAATCTTTGCTGCGTATTCACGATTGTTTGAACGGTCCCTAGCAGCGACAACCTATGGAGTCGGTAGAAAGAGGACAAGAAAGAATAGGTACATCAGAAATAAGAACTTGGAGGTATAAACCAAAAAACCACGATCTTCAGAGAATTTTCGCATACCGTAGAGTATGAACCCTCACCAAGCGTTTTACCGAATTCAAAGTCTTTCACGCCTTTCTTTTTCACAGAAGAGGTATGAGAATGTTGATTTCTTGAAGCTTGTTGAGTATTTTCCCTGTTATTAGTTCTCGGAATTTGAATAGGAACCTCCTTATGCCCATTGGTTGATAAAGGGTAAGGATTTATGGTATTACCAGAAGCCATCAGTAAAAGTTTTTTTTTTAAAGAGTTAAGTCTTGGAGATGAAAGTAAAAAAAAAAAACTAAGATGATTAATGGTAAAAATTGGTTATAAGAATTATATAATAAATAAATAATACACAATTGAATGATAACGCAGAAATTATAACCAACAGGAGATATAAAGGAGAGATAGGCATGTGATAACGATCCGATTATAATATTAAACTAAAATATAAAATATATATAAAAACTGCACGAAACCGAAACACAAAAATCCACGTACAAAACAGTAGTACCAACACGATATTATTGATTCATATGCTTAAATGAAATGATGATACATCGATTAAAGAAATAACCATCGCTTTAGCAAAGATCTTTATGACAGATGTACTTTCGTTAGTCCAGAAGAACGTTTTTAATTTGTTTCAACCAAATATTTCAAGAATGATGATCACCTTATAATTAATTTTTTTGTATATTTCCACGTTATAATAAAGGATGCTAAATTTATCGTAAATCTTTTTAATTACCTTTTCTGTCTAAAACACTCACACGATTACTTTATTAGTTTACTATAGTGGATCAGATTCAATTATGCTGTGATACATTCAAAAAAAAAAACTCCTCGATTTTTTTTACAAACTTGATTCTAGAAAACAAAATGATCTTTTTTTCTTTTTTTTTAATTTATAATAACATGTTAATTAATTCTAAATGAAATTACCTTTGATGATAATCATAAGGTTACCTATTAAATATTAGTTTTTGGTATCATCTTCTATTGAAGCGTTCAGAAAATATAAAACTTAATAGCCATCCCGCTCCAGCTCCTATTAACGTAGATAAAATTACAATCTTGTCCAATTCACCACGAGTGATTAGAATTTCGTTTCTAGGGGGTTCAGTTTCTTGCGACGTGCTTTCTGGTGGAAGAGGGATCATGTCACTTTCCTTCGTTTCAATTCCAACTTCAGAAACATTCTGTTTCTCAAAATTTATCATTTCGTCCAATTTTTCAAACCTTTGATATAATGGACGAAAAATTCCAATCTCAAATTTTTTCTCATCTTCATCGGATTTCTTGATAAGTAACTCCTCAAATTTATCAGCTAATTTTTGTCTTTTATGAGGCTCAAAAATGGATTGTACGCAAATAAACAAAATAACGTTTATTGTCATAAGAGCAATTGTTCCGTATGTTGACGCACTACGGATTTTATCGCTCCAGACTTGCTCCTCATGATAACGCATCATTATAGATCTAGTTAGGTCAGAGTATTCCTTTTCAACTTGTTTCTCCCATTTACGAAATTCCTCTTTGGCAAAACTTTCTGCTTGTTCATTCAAATGTTCATTTCGATAAAGTTCCGTGAACCTTACAACATCATCATTAGACCATTGATGCTTTCGCTGAAGAAGGTCATTAATTTCGCGTTGAGTTTCGGATCTCTTTGTAACTGCTTCCTCATATGCTAATTTGGAGGAAGCGAGGCGTTGACGTGTGGTGACAAATTCTTGTTCTAAAATAATGTGTAGATAAATATCAAAACACGTCATTTATGATGTATTCTCCTGATCTTGAAAAAAAAATTTACCCTGTTGGATCACCTTTTCTTTCAATTTTTCGACTGCGGAATACCCTGTAAACTCATTCAATACTTGTGAAGCAGCATTAAGCATATGCTGTCTATCTTTAATCTTGATCGTGTTAATGAATTTATTTATCCGTTCAATTAAAGATTGTTTTTTAGCAAGTGATATTGTTGCAGAGTGTTGGAAAGTAGATAAAAGTGATGAAGTTGTTGAGGGTCTCTCTTTAAGGGTATTTATCGTAGAAGTATTTTTATCCTTTGTTTGTTGTGGTGTTGTGTTTTTGTTCGAAAAGAAAGAACAACAATTATATCGTGTCTTCAATATTAAATTATTTAAACCTTGCTTGTTGAAAATATGAAAACGACGTTGTGCAAGGATAGGATAAAATTTTACTGAAATTAATGATATGTCAGCCTTGCAAAAATGCAATGGCTTTATTAAGTAACGAGGAGTTGATATCATTATTATTATTTTTTTTTTTGTTCGAGAGAGATTCCATCTGATCGACAAATATAGAAATTACTTTGAACAAAAAAAAAAAAAAAAAAAAAAAATTTTTTTTTAAATTTTTTTTTTTATACTATTAAAATGTATTAGGAATAATTCGAAAATAAACTTTGAATTTTTGGTTAGATTTCCACATGAACGTACGAACCTTAAATGTAACATCATTTTAGGTTAGACTTTGACGATCAAACTATTTTTCATGTTAAACAAAAAAAATTCAGAAATTTTTTTATAAATATCTTAAAAAATGTATTCTAGAGATTCAGATACGTATAAATCTACTTCCACATACTCGGTAAAGCAGACTGACAGTTCAAAAATATCAGAGAAAGATGATCCCGAAAATTCAACGTACGCGGACTCTTCTCCAAGCAACAATGAATATGAAAGTCAACGTGCTGTTGGTGGAGTTAGGAGCATACGAGTAATTATTTTCATAAATTTACATTTTATTATTCAAATGTAAAACAATTAATTCTGAATTCTTTTTTATTGAAAGGATATTTTAAACGCAGACAGTCAATCCCCAATTAAACGTGAGGACATTGATGTAGATATAACCGGCGATGAGCCTTCAGAAGACCAACCATCACCACTCAAATTTGACGACCAATTCGGCGAAGTAGTTGACGAGGAAAGAGACAAAATACAGAGATTAAATATGCGTCATCCTCATTCTTCTACTGCGGTTAAAGATTTTTTGAATAAGACCGTAGTACCTAGTTTATTGGCAGGAATGAAGAAAATGGTTCGAGAAAGGTATTGAAATTTTTCTCGATTTATTTTCATGTTCCTTATTAAATTCCCTTTACAAATTTTTTTTTTTAAAAAAAAAATGTTAATATTATTCTTTTATAAAGACCACAGAATCCTTGTGAATTTCTAGGACGATATTTAATTGAACATTGTGAACATGATCATAATCGTAAAGAGGAAATTAATAATACAGAACTTCGGATTAAACAAGAAGAAACTGATTATTCACCGCGTGGTCGACAAAAACGGAGAAGAGGAAGTGGTTCAAGCGTAGATAATGTCGGTGATATGGATGTAGATAATGATGTTTGATCTTACTTCAACTCGTTAATAAATTTAGGAAACCACGAAAATTTACTTAATAATAACTAAATATATAATTTTAATTTTGAATGCAAATTAATTTATAAATATTTTTATTGAACATTATTTGTAATATAATTCAAAACTTATGCAATATGAAAGTGTATATATATAAAAAAAAAAATAATCATATTTTAAAAAACGGTGCATTCTCAAAAACGCTTATATGATTCAGAATAAAATGTTTCTTCGAAATTTATATAAATAAACTACAAATCTGATTTGATCATAAATTAATCATATATAAGGATTATTCTTCAACTTCAGTTTCATCCGATTTGGATAAATTGGCTGTCGTCCAATCTGGAACTTGACCATTAAATTTTTCTCTTGAAATTTCAATTACAGTAGATTTAAGAGATCCAATTAATGAACCTAATTAAGTATGATTGAATTTTGTTTTAATTATAGAAAAAATTTGATATATTATGATTTTATGATTAAGAGATACCTACCGCCAACCCAAGTCCGACAATTCGCTACGAATACTTTTCCACTACCAGTATCTTCTAAGAATCCAATATGACCAACAAGTTTACTTAAAGATTTAAATCTTCTATCGGTATTCAAAGTGCGAAGTAGTTCATGTCCAAATCTAGATTGAAAATTTGGAAGCAAGGTTGTGCCACCGATAAGAAGAATTGCCGAAGCAAGAGGGGCACGTAGGTGGATTGGAGTCTATGATAGATAAATTTATTATTTAATAAAACAATCAAGAGGAAACTCAAAAAAAAAAAAAAAAAAAAAAATTCATCCAACCAACCTTTAACAAACACTCTAACGCACATCCTACTACACTGGATTCATCTTCATCTCCTTCAAATAAAACTTCTGCACAACGTTCCCTGATCCAACCCGGAACTACTAAAGTTCCAATTTGACGTTCTCGTCCTCTTTTGCTTATCGTAAAGGGATACAATACATCCGATGTCGAAACCACAGTGGCGTATTTATCCTCCATATCTTCCACCAAAGTTTTTTCGGCGATGCCAATTGACGCTTCAGAAATCATCATTGGACTAACAAAAATAAATCGAGTTTTAATATCTTCGAGAACTGCTGGCGTCAAATATTTGGCGTGAACTGGTTTTTGCTCCTTAGAAGGTGGAATTATCATACTTCCATAAGCTGACAATAATTCTTTAAGACGTTTTGTTAATGCACGACCAGCTAACGGGGTTGTACGAATGAAAGGAGTCAAGGGACGAGCCGAAAATGTCTAAAAAAAATAAAAATAAATAATAATCCAAACATCTCTTTAAAGTTAAAACTGTACGGTTTTAAAATATTTACCGGAAGTACAGTGGTTTCTAAATGCCCTACATCTATCACCAATCCTGTTGTGCATCCTGTTGTCAACAAAGCCAACATATGAGATGGTGCGAAAGAAATTGACGGAACCTACATTAAATTAATAAAACGAATAATGATTATAAAATTATAAAATCAATAATATTAATGAACTAAATACCTGTAAATTCTCAAATAATACTTTTGCAATTAATTGTTTCAATTTCAAGGGAAGCATCGGAGATTCACATAAAACAACCTTGCGCTGTTTAGGATCCGTCAAAAGGTACCTAAAGTTCCAAATGCAAAACTAATTAGTTATAAAGCGTCGTGAATCATCATTTTGATATTATAGCAGACCTGAAATAAATTTCTCTTAGATAATGAGCCAATCGATCGTAAAGAGCATCTAATCCATCAGGATACTGACCGATTTCCAAATCAAATAATTCTGCAAACTGTAATATGTAAGTGCTTACAACAGATCAAGTGTAATCGGCAACATCCTAAAAATATCTCACCTCCCCGATTACCCTACAACTTTCACCACATGCTTTTACAACTCCACCACTGCCATTAAATTCAGGATCCCAATGGAATTTCATGTTTCCAGCGTAAACGGGTACAATATGCCTGGGTCTTGACTCTCCGCTAAAACCAGCTTTAATATAAAGACTACCTATGTCCAAAACAATTCTATCTTCGCCAGTACCATAAAGAGAATGACGGCGAGGAAGAGCAACGGACGGTGCTGGTGAACTACGACCTAGAGTATTTGGAGTGGTAGATCGTGGTGCTTGACTTGTCTGTTGAATACTGGGCGTGACAGTGATATCAACAGTTGGACCGCTAGGAACCGACGATGAGTTTGATTCATCCATTTTCTTTATAATTTGAAGGAAGTTTCTACACGTTAAGCATGGTCTTTTTGCTCGTGATAATATGTACTACTTTGATCAAATATAAGTCACGTGAAATGGTATGTTATTCCCGATTTTACGTGTGTAAAATGAAAATAATTGCTATTGTAAAATAATAAAATGAGCAAAGACCGAAAGGTTAAATGCGATTTCAATTAACGGCTTTGAAAGCTATTAAAGTTCATATTAAAATTTTTTTATTATTAAAATTTATTTATTTAAAAAAATTATTAAATACGCGATTTAGCATGATTTATCCTCTAAATTCGCATAAAAGGTTAAGATGACATCCTTTAAAAACCGAAAGGTGAGATGCCTGATATGAACGAACAAAATCCTTGTTTCCAAGAATCAAACCGATTAAATTCAATCCCTGTGAAGTTTGGGTTAATTTTTAATGAATTTTAAATAAAGTCCTTTATTTACAAAAATTCACACCAAAGGAAAATGAAGATATAAGAAAAAAAGATTGACAAAACTTTTTTTATGTTCTTAGGAACTCAACATATTATTATTATTTTAAAGTACTATTAAACGCACAATCGAACCATTTTTCTATTTTTGATATCACAATTCTTTCGCTGATCCAGTAAAGAATGATAAAAATAACTTGATTATAAATTTTACTATAAAAAATTATACGAATAAGCCCTTCTCGTTGAAGTAATAACATGTTAATAAAGACAATCTTTGTCAATGAATCGTAAAAAAATTTAGTTGATTCGTTCAATCACTATACTAATTAATATCCCTAGTTTATGAGTCAATTGTTCCATCGTCTCCGAGATCATTAATAGCATTCACTGTAATTAGATTACCTTCAAGAAGTCTACGCTTTAAATAAAAGGAAAAACGAATTAAAAGGTATATATAACTTTTTTAAGTTTAAAATAACATGAAATATTATGTTTTATTTCTATGGTTTAAACTAAATTGGTTTCGGACGACCTAATTTAAAAATACAAAAGGACTATGCAGCGAACCTGAAGATAGGATAAGGTATTAGTTGCAAGATCGTTCTTTACCAATCCTGAATATTGTAAGCTGTAATGTTTGACCTTTTTATTTTTATTTAATAGAATACACACAGGTTAAAAAAAAATGACCAATAGAAAATCCCGCGGATATTCATTTAAGCAAAGCAACCCAAACGATAGAATTTTTTGAGTCAATACTTCATGATTCTCTTCTTCAATTAAGAAAAATAAGGTTTCTTTTTCTCATGAGGGTTAAGAGAATTCATTTCATTAATTCAATTTCTGATTTTAACGGTATGTTTAGGTGTCTAATGCTCACACTTTTTGTAAAGCCGTTATATGCCTGGAATTTGCAATAGAATGGAATTATGAGGTGCCTTTACTTAAGTTTTCGTTTTCTTTTTGACTTGTTTTTATATCTACTACTTTATGGTGTCGCAATCAATTGAAGAATTAAATAGAATTTGCAAAAATTTTGAACCTTAGTTATTAGCGAATATATTACAATTTTGTCAATGAAAATGCCGCAGTAAAAACTTTCTGTTCCAAGGGAGGTTTTGTTATGGGTTTACACATCTTTTAATTAACTGTTCTTTTATAAATCCAAGACATCTAGAATACAGGCATTTTCAAATATATTTGATGGTTTAACGGTACTAAAACGAACCAACTTAATTTTTGAGCGGGGCAATTCCTTAATAAACAATATTTTCTCCTCACTTTCTTGATATGACGAAACTGACGAAACTAGTTTTTTATGCGACGAAACTATTTTACTTAATTGCCGAATACTTTGTATTAAAATACATTATATTTTATTCATATAAAAAATATTAAAAAGACGAAACTACTTTTTTTTTCAAAAAGGAGTATCACTACTCCTAATATCTCGTCCGATTCCTAGTTTATGAGTCGAATCATGATTGGTTTCTAGTTTTAGTTTTTGTCCAACGACCGAAATCGGTCATATGATCGGATCGCGTCTCCTGAGATCATTAACATACACACTATTTTTAATAGCATTTGCAGTAAAAAAAAAAAATTTTTTTTTTTTTCACAAATACAGTATTTTTGCAGTTTTTGCATACACTAAACAAATAACATAAACATTAATTTCTTTTTTTTTCCATTGTAATTAAATTACCTACAAAAATGTCCATCACACCAAACGCTTTAAAAAATAAAAGGAAAAACGAATTAAAAGGTATATATAACTTTAAGTTTAAATTAACGTGAAATATTATGTTTTATTTCTATGGTTTAAACTAAATTGATTTCAGACATCGCCTTAGACCTAGGTTTAAATACAAAAGGACTACGCAGCGAACTTGAAGAAAGGATAAGGTATTTAGTTGCAAGATCGTTCGTTAGCAACCCTGATGAATGTATGCTGTATTTAATAATAAATATGATTATTTTTATTTAATAGAATACACTTGGAAAGTACTGAGGTTAACAAAAATGAAGAAATAGAAGATCCCATGGATATTCCTTTAAGCAAAGCAACACCGCGACGTTCAGATCGTAAAAAAAGTAGGTCGAGATCACGGAAAGATTTAAAAGAAATTTCGTCACACCCGAATGGAGACAGGTTCGTATTTCATATAAGCATTAAAAGTTAACTTGTCATCATATTCTATTAATCTTTTCTCTAATTTTGTAGACATTCTTCTGACGAAGAAAATCAATCAGCATCATCAGAAAGTGAAATTAAGGTGATCAAACGAGAAACCCTTTTGGAAGAGACAACACGATATCCTAGCAACCAACTGACTTTCGAATCATCACAACAAGAAGTTGCTGTTAATGCGACATATAGAACACCGCATACTTCAGAAGATTCAGATATAGCTGAACCTAGTGATACACGAGGTTTACCAAACGATAGGATCTTTCGAGTCAATACTATTCATGATTCTCTTCTTCAATTAAGAAAAGTAAGGTTTTTTTTTCTCATCAGGGGTTAAGAGAATTTATTAATTAAGACGTTCATTAATCAATTCATTTTCTGATTTTAACGGTATGATTAGAATGTTTCTAATGCTCACACTTTTTGTAAAGCCGTTATATGCCTGGAATTTGCAGTATTCTTATATTGTGCAATAGAATGGAATTATGAGGTGCTTTTACTAAGTTTTCTTTTGACTTGTTTTTATGTCTACGATTATTTAATGCATCTTTTCTAAAGCTAATGTCATCATTATTTCTTTCTATAAGGTTACATCAATTTCTATCCCAAACTTCTTTGATTATGAATCGAATGAAGCTTATGTTTATTATATCCGTGTTCCAGATATCTTTATTCTTTTGGAATGGCATCGGTTTTGGCGTCCTTTAATTTCTTTCATATTTTATCTATTATTATTACCACTTGGATTTTCATATATCATCAATTTTGAGCCACAACGACATGTATATAATCCTCTGGTATTTTCCGTCTTTCAGTATACCATTTTCTTGGTTTCTTATGGAAGCTTTGATTGGACTGAGGATGTTCGTGATTTCATTCCCGATACCTTAATTTATGCGGGTGCTGGAGCTGGGGCGATTTTTGCATTGTATGAGATCATTTTGGCAAATTAATTAGCCTATTAGCTTTGTGGTGAACTTATGATTACAACGTTCAAATATTTTCCTTACCCGTGAAAAATTACCTTTTATATATATGTATTGGTTGTCGGCTGTACTTCTGTTTTATGCCATAGAATACCAATTTATGTGTAAATAAAAAAAATATTTTTTTTTTTTAGTTAGTAACAATCATTTTATTAAAAAATCCAATATATTTTCCGCGGAAATTTTGGAAATTTGATGTAACTCGATCTACCAGCAATAGAATCTAGCCAAACAAATTCAAAATTCTCACTTTTGTTATCTTATTCTCATTGTGAAAAATGAACAATTTTTTTGCTGTTAATCATGTTACACGCGCTCTAAAATATCACGCTATCATATTAATAATATTGTGATTCGATGCACAATAGATTGGACTATACCAAATATATCATTTTTGATAATTTAGCGTATTTTTTTTTACAAATCAAGATCAAATTTTAATGATGTCTGTTGGACTAGATCACTTTCTTGTTATAATCAACGGCTTTTAATTCTCCCTACTGTCTCTTCTCGTCATTCTTCTCGTTTTTTTTATTTATACAAACCCTGTTATTGCTTTCACTATGGCTCCAAACGGTATCGTTCCAATTATGAATGAAAGTACTTTCAATTTGCCTCGCCTTGAAGATTATGATATAAATCCATTGAGTGGGTTTCTTCCTTCTACTCCACCATTACAACGCCTAACTAATCCTTACTATGAGCCATGGGAAACTTTGATTGATATATTTCACGAATTGATGTTGATCGGTCGTTTAAGGGAATACGTAAGAAAGGTTCGTAATGTAAAAACATAATTCAAATCGCAAATATTCTTGTAATTAACCAAATATCAATTCTATTTACTTGAAATTAGCTGCCGCTTTTGAAAACTGATCGCCTAGAAAATATAGAAGAATATCGCCGTGCTTTCTTAATTTTGTCCTTTTTGGCACATGGATATGTATGGGGAAAGTACGAACCAATTTCAGATGTGAGTAGGCTAGTAAAATTCCATTTCTTACTATTGTTTTTTTTTTTTTACCGCGTTCTAATTTCTATAGTATTTTAATATATGTGTAACACATACAGAGGTTACCACCTAATATTGCCATTCCTTGGGTGAAAGTATCAGATTATCTCGATGTCGCGCCAATATGTAATCATGCTGCAGTCGTGACATGGAATTGGCGCTTACTATTTTCAAATGAACCGTTTGATTTAAAGTTTATATCTATTCATACATCTTGTTCAGTCTAGTTTTAATATATATATTAGTTAATTCTAATGAAAAAAAAACAAAAATCTCAACATCCTTCTATTGAATTTTGAAAATAAAATTTTTATATCTTTAGCAATCTTGCTACATTAATTACGTTTTCAAACACGTTGGATGAATCTTGGTTTTACCTAGTTACAACCGCCATTGAAGGATTCGGAGGACGCGCTCTTACGAGTATTATGACTGCTATTCAAGCTGTTTATGATGGTAATGACGAACAATTGATTAACGCGTTGAAAGTTATCAGTTCCACTATTTCTGATATTAACGCAACCCTACAAAGGATGTTTGAAAAATGCGATCCGTATGTCTTTTACTGGAAGGTACGACCATACCTCTCTGGTTGGAAGAATGAAGATCTTTTGCCGCGTGGGTTAATTTATGAAGGAGTAGATGAAAATGACGAGAATGGAAATCCGATTTATCGGCAATATATAGGAGGTAGTGCAGGTCAAAGTGCTTTAATCCAAGCTCTTGATATTGCACTTAATATAGATCACTATCCAACGGGTGTTAGACCGAACACAAATGGACACACATCTTCGGATAATGGTCATTTTTATAATAATAATTGTCACCATTATTCCTCATGTCTTAATGGATACCCTCAAAATCACGATATTCATCATTATGCATCTAATGGACACACTAAACCTCAACAACCTTATCTTCACAGAATTCGCCAGAATATTCCAGGAAAGCATCGTAAATTTCTTGAAGACCTTGCTAAAATTGCAAATATTCGAAATTATATAATATCCAATGCCGATTATGATTCTAGTACTAATACATCATCATCAGACGATGAAGACATGAGATTATTACGCGAAACTAAGGAAGCTAGTGATTTAATTAAGGCTTATAATGAATGCTTGATTCAAATGAAAAACTTTAGAAACAAACATTTACAAATTGTAAGCGTTTATATTGTAATTCAATCACATAAAAGAGTTGGTGGTTTGCATTTCAACGCAAAGGAAGGTACTCCTCCCGTAAATAAAGGTATATATATATATTTTATTATTCATGTATAATTTCGAATTTGTTTATTAAAAATTTTTATTATTAGACTTGATTGGTAATGATGAAGCAATAGCTACTGTAGTAAGCAAAAAGGCAATCACTAACACTACATCCAAGAATGGTGATAAGGAAATTAGAAAAACAACAAGTACCGAATCGATCGAAATCATTAAGGGTACTGGGGGAACTAATTTAATGCCATTTTTGAAACAAATGAGAGATGAAACGATGGACCAAGAAATTACAGAAGTGGTTGAATAGAGTTTTTTTTTTCTTTTTTTTTTTTTAAAAAAAAAATCAGAATCTTTTTAATTTTGAATGTAAGGGTAATGTTGAGAATATGTGGGTAGATGTAAAATTATTAATTTATTTTCTTATTTAATAATTTAACGTTCCTTTCCTCCTATTCATTACATATATGTTATTATGGAACATAGATAATTTTAGTTATTTTCTTCGAATTACATATCGAAGTGATAATCGTAAAATTTGGTGATTTAATTGGCTTGTTCGATTTAATCACCACACAGATCGAATAGACACATCAATGAGAAAAAAAATAATTTTTTAACTTTTTTTTTTTTTTAAAAAAAAACTTTTATATCGAATCATGTATTTTTCCGTGGTAAAATTTAATTTTGATTATTTCCGCCTTTTGCAGAGGTAGATGTGGGTTTTATTTGTTTGATCAATTGTAGATCATTAAATCTTAAACTTTAAATATTTTTTTCGAGTAAAGCTATTATAATGCTAAGAATTATCTTATTATGGGCTTCTTCCATATAAATTCACCATCTCACCTTACCAATTATTATATGGAACTTTTCGGTTGATGAAGCCCCATTTGTTGCAAATTTTGTTGTAGCCAAAAAAATAAAAAAAAAAAGAGGGTGTGGCTAAATGAAAATCTGCTTAAAAACGATTCAGCCAGCAACTTCAAGACGTTGATTAATAATTCTGTGACTGAAAGATTTAAGTGATGATAGAAAGGATTTTCTTCAAGGGAACAAAAAAAAAAAAATATTTTTTTTCCTTAATTTTTTCAAAGAAATAAGTAACGTCATTTTTAATTCGGTAATACAGCAGATCGAGAAAAAATAACTGAAACGACTCATGGTAAGTAAACGTAGAAAATCTCGTAAGTCCGATTTACTAATTTAATGTCGACCGATAGATTTTATATGGCACGTGACCAAAGCTTACCAATTATTAATTTCAAATTCAAAATTTATATATTCCCGAGATATGATGTGATTTATGAAATATATATAGAGTTAATATAAGGATAAGAAAATATATATATCCATTGATAGACATCAAAAAAATCAATAAAAATAAATATTTCTTGATCCATATACTTGTTTTACCATTTATTATTAGATTTGATAATCCAATAATTCACATTATGCATTATGTATGTACATTGTTTGATCAACATATCGATATAACATTTAATATCAAATAACCAAGTTAAGTTTAAATGTGCGATATCAAACATAACAAAATATAAATTCTAAGCCACACCATAATTAGAGAAGTTTTTTCTCAATATAAAAAAAGTTGTCGGAATTAACCAAAAACACTAAAAGAGTATCATATTATCATTTAAAAAATTTTTTTATTAAAATCAATTCTAAATTTAGTCGACAACAAAGCCATTATGTCGCACAGATCCTTTATTAAAATAATTTCGATACAATGTATTGAATAATCAGGAACAATACCCTGCTTATTACAACTATCAAATTCTTTTTTGGGGTAGGATGAAATAATTAAATTTTTTTTTGTCCCCTCAAATTTCGATAAGTGTAAAACTAATTTTTCTTTTTGATATTCCCACTCGGCTAAAATAAGCGTAACGGAATTTGAACTTCAAATGAACCTATCAATGTAAAATCATACTTAATAAAGGTTGTCATTCGGTGTAGCAAACAAATAAATAACACACACACAAAGATACTAAATGCAATTTATAGTATTTGAACCAGTCGTTAGTTATCTTATTTAATTGTAGGTAGTAGGAATAAATTTTGTTATTAGCAACAGTTTGTTTAATCGTATGTACATTCTTGTTGTTACAACTCCCCCCGTTTCTAACTTACCCCACCCTAACCCCTTTTTTCTTCTTTAATTAGGAAAGACCAAAAAAATTTTTTTTCCTTGCTCTCGAGCTTATTAACTTGTGCTTTTGTTGTTGAACATCGAAAAGCAAACGAATACCCTTTAATACTTTTTGACCCTTTCTCCAATTTTTTTATTTTTATTTTTTTATTTTTTTCTCATCAAACTTTCCCGCCATTTAACCTATAAAGACACCCTATTAGTTTTGCCTAACCCTGAAACAATAATGCTTCCTTTTCGTTCCTGAAAGCCTTTTTAAATATTACAATTATTTGGTTGAAACCGACTTTTCCTTTGTTTAAAACAAAGTAATCTATTTCCTTTTAACAAGCTTCTCCAAAAAGAGAAATAAAACATCCGTTTTTTTTTTTTGTTTTACCTCACTATTTAGTACCAGCCACATCTTTCCTGTTTCTTTCATTATCAAAAAAATACAGTTACGAAAGAAACAACAACAAAAAAAGGCCAGACAATAAGACAATATTTACACAATAACAATAATAAATACTTTCTATAGTTTGTTCGGTTATAAAGCATTCAAATCAATTTTTTAATAATATTACGCACGGCAGTTAGAGGTTATTATTTACATCTTTGTTGCTTTATGATATATATAAAATAAATTTTGAATTAGATAATTTTTTTTTTAAAAAAAAAAGAGTTCCAGATATTATATATATATATCTTAAATATATATACAAACACATACGCAAAATAATTTAATTAAATTTTTTTAAAAAAAAAAAAAAACCAAAAACAAATGGGAGGACAATTGACAAAAGAACAAGCTTGCCTACCTTTTGGTTATGTTTCCGTGAAGGCTCATAGACGACATCGCATAAACCCTTCAACAATAAGACCTAATGTGCATCCATCTTCGGATAATTCGGACCCACTTTTAAATGAACTTCATGATTTTAATAATCATTTACAGGATCATCTTACTCTTGGAGAAACAGCATCCGTTTTAACCACAGTAACTGATGTAATTTCCCCAGAAGTCATGGAATTAGATGGAAATGGAAAAGCTGATGATGACAACATGTCATGGACGCATTCACACTCCCATCACGGTGATGACCTATCATGTTTTCCTGGGGCACCTGAATTTAGAGAAGCACATGATGGTCTCAGCGCTATAATGTTCAGCGAATTACCAAACTTGAAAAATATTGGACTCTGTTCTATTGGGTTGGTCAAATTGTCTCCAAACATCTGCTTTCTATTTATTACAAATTGCTTGCAAATGTAAGTATTTCGGGTGTTAGGTTTCAGGGAACATTTTGTAGGCGTAAAGGAAACAAAAATAGTTTAGGCATCAGGTGCACGTGACAAATCAAAATTCCTCGATAAAGATTAACAGATCTCTCTTCTTTTTTCCTTTCATTTAATTAGATGTTGTAATGAATTGACGGAAATACCGGCCGAAATTGGATATATGAAAAATCTGACAAAACTTGACTTGTCCAAAAATAAATTGAAATACATTCCTGACACAATTGGTTTTTTACATAAACTAGTTGAGCTTAGATTATCAGATAATCAATTAACTTATATACCATCTTCTATTGGTTCACTCAAAAAACTTGGAACTTTATTGCTTGATAATAATAAGTTAACCGAGTTACCACCTGAAATTGGAGAAATCAAGACGCTTGTTAATTTGGATGTCCGTGAGAATCCAATTACGGTATTACCCGCCGAACTTGGAAGGCTTCAGTATTTACGTAAACTTCGCACAGAAGGATGTTCATTAAAAACAGAATTTGTTCATAACATTACTCATTCTCCACCCACGCTTATGGAGCTCGCCGCACGCACGATCGTTCGAAAGCAAATTCCAATTCTTGAGGATACAACAGAGCATCTTAAAGATTATCTTTCTAACGCCAAAAAATGTAGCTTTTGTGGCGGTCCATACTTTGAAAGCTTTGTGAAAAGAGGAAAGATTATTGATAAGAATGAGCAGCATATTCCTCTCGAATATAGATTGTGTAGCCCACATTGGAATACCGAGCAAGAACGAGTTAGTTTATTGTTTTGTGCGTTACCGGATACAGCCCCTAGTTCCGAACCGTATAAACATCCAAATCATAGCGACCCTACAGTTACTTCTGATTGTAATGCGTCCGTTGTGAGTGTCTCGACTTCTTTTGAGCCACGACAAAAACTCCAACGTTCCTCTTCACGACGTTCCATTACCATTCCTCTTAGCTCCCTAACTAGATCCCCCTCTTTACCAAGTCTACCAAGATCGGCTTCTCCAAGGCCTTCCAGTCAATTAGGAGATGACGTAAGTGTGAAAAAGAGTAACGGTGCACGAGGAAAAAATGGCGTGTTCCTGTTGCGATCAAGGAAAAATAGTTCTGCGTCTACAATTTTGGGAAAACCTCCGTTTAGCAATTCGACTTCGCGATTTAGTTCGAGATGGCGCATATAGTGTCTGTTGCTTAATGATGAATTTTCACGTCCCAATAAAAAAAAAATTTTTTTATTTTAAAAATTTTTTTTTTTTTCCCTTTTATTTGTAATTCTTTTTTGGTCGATGGGATGGACATTATTATTAATATTTTTATATTTTTCTTACAATTTGTTTTTTTATTACATTTTTTAAGCATGAGAAAGTGAATGAGACAGATATGTGCGTGGGTAAAATAGTGTACATATTTTTCACTTGTTTATTTCACACAATAAAGAACCATTTCCTTCCTCCTCTTTTTTTTTCTTATTTATTTTCCCACGTACTTTTTCTCTTTTTTTTGTGTAATTTACCTTAATATGTATAGTTTTTCTTTCTATTTGTCCAATTTTTTTTCCTAAGCAACTAAAAAAAAGAATGTCATTCTGTCTCATTCAAATTTCTACACCATCACAATATTATTAACACATTTTAGCACGTTTGGGTAATTTAGTATTAATTGTTAATCATCAGTCCTTTAAATTTCCCTTGATCCAATTGAAAGAAAGTTATGTAAGCAAAGGATTGAGGATTCCACCGAAACAAGAAGAAAATTACGTCCATTTCTGTATCGATGACCTAAAAAAAAACGCGCCCTTTCGTTTAAAAATCCCTCATATTTTAGACCTGTATTTATTTCTTTTTAGACCATCTTACATAATTCATTCATTAAATTGCATTTACCCTTTTTAATCTTATTTATTCCCGCTTTTTTATATTCCCGTCACCCATATATACATACACACAAATATATACACTTTGAGGGGAACTTTTGTTAAAAAAGTTAAAACCTCCTTTTGTTAAAACATGTTAAATACACGACTTGGAGGGTGTTTGTATATACTTTATTTTCAACAAAAAAAATTTTTGGTGGATTCTTTTTTCTTTTTTTTATGGAGTTTTGTCGAGTTCTTTTTAAATATTATTTCCGGATATGCTTTTCCATTCCATTCTCTTTCTTTTTTTCGCGTCCTTACGATTTTAATTAACCATGTTGCGAAAAAATTTGACGAAATTTAACGAACCCTCTACAACAATATACTCAAAAAAAAAAAAAAAAAAAAAAAAAAAAGGCAAGTTAAAGCAAGTTAAACATATTTACTTGATTTCAACGATTAAGGTATCCTTATTTTCTATCGAATGAAAAGTTACTTTTATATCAATTTTATAGACATTAAAAAAAATTTAAAATATAATAAAATAAGCTTTGAGAATATTATTTTTAGAGGGTTCTTTTTTTTACGTGAGCGATTTGAATGGGAATTGTTTTTTGAAAAAATCTATGCGCATGAAACAAAATGAAGGAGATTTAGTACAATTAAGATAAAAAGTGACTATTTTTATTTTTTTTTGTTATGAGGAGGGATCAAGAGTTTCGTTTTATCATTTTCAATTTTTTTATTTTTTTTTTTAGTTATATATTATTTATTCTGGATTTTTATTTAAAAAAAAATCTCTCTTTTTTCATAGATTAGTTAGTTTTAAAATTTTTTTTTTCTTGGTTAAGATGAATTTTCTAATTTGGAAGTTGAAATTATTTTCAAAGTGCTGTATTGTAATTAAAAAATAGAGAAATTGATGTATTGGTTTGATTTCCTTTAGGTCACCTCAGTTGGAAGATTCCGATCAGAAAATTTAAGAAAGAAAAAAAGAAAAAACGGTCGATGACGCGCTAGCCTGTTCTTTAAGGACGCGTTTTTTCTTTTCATCAACATCCGAACTTCAACCTTACCTTCCTTCCATTTTTTGGTTCACCTGGAGAGAAATTCATGTTTCATAATTTTTCTTTAGATTTTTTTTTTTCCTTTACGCATTCGATCACAGTTCATTGAATCACTTTCAAAAAAAACTTCCATTATTTATTTTAAACGTTTCGGGTTTTATTTATTTATTTTTTTTCGTGTAATTTTTATTCTTTTTTCATAAAACCAAAAACAAAATTTTTTTCATGTAATAAAAATCATATTTATTTATTAACTTTTTTTTTTAAAACCTATTTTTTTTTCAAAAATCATGTATTATCTTTATTCATTTTATTATTTTATTTCTAAAACTGGCAAATGGCAAATGGGCAAATGGAAAAAAAAATTTTTTATTGGCAATAATCTCGTTTTCAAATACCCCACGATTTATTATTATCTTGATGATATCACATAAGCATATATAACAAACAAAACAAAAAACAAATAAAAAGATGTTGGCCTTAACATTTGTTCTAATTCTTTTTATAGTATTTGGCATTCAAGAATTAATGAACCACACATTCGATAACATTTTTTTAAAATTAATCATAATACAAAAAAGAAAATTCTAGTATTTACCTGTAAAAAAACGCGAAAAAGCGTGCCACAATTTTTTTTTTCGTGTCGCAATTCCCGTGTTTATCATTGATAAATGAAAAGTAGTCAAATGACGAAATAATAATAAAAATAGTAATAAATAATCCTATTTAAAAAATCTTTTTTTCCGAAGCCGAAATGATCCACACAATTGATGATGAGAAGGATTTTCTTCATCAGGGAGAAAGGAGACGGCCGAAAAAAACAAATTTTTTTAAAAGGCGGGAAATTGAACCAACAGCGTTTTTCTTAAAGTTTCACATGTTAATGCTTCAATAAAACTTTTATTTGGGGGAGAATGGTTCTATATTTGGATTATTATTATCTATTGGGCACATACGGGAGGAACTCCGTTAGTGCCAAAAAAGCTTATTAATGCATTTACTTAAAGAAATCATTAATCAATGATGATTACTATTCTTGTCATTTGGTGAAATGTTCCCGATCAAATAATTTCATGAATTTTATCCGGTTTTTTCCTTTTGAGTTTTGATTAATTAATTGGGGTTAGGGTTTGTTGAGAACATTTGGGGGTGATAAGAAAAAGGGAGCAAAAATCAGTTATTGTAAACCTAAAAAAGGATTCGAATTTTCGTATAATTTGCGTCATCATGTTTTGGAACTAGGTTTTTTTTTAAAAAAAAAGGCGCCGTGTTACAATAACCCTCAGCAGTTTGTGATGATGAAATGTCATATAAACAGATTGCTCAGGTGATTGTTGATAAACAAAAAAATGCCCAAATGAATTTATATTTGGAAAAAAAAAAAAATGTATTTACAAAGTGTATTTACAAATTTTGTAGAAAAAAGAAGGAAATTATTGGATGAACACTACCAACAAACCAAAAAAAAAAAAATTTTTTTTCCCTAGGATTTATTTAATTTATTTTTCCCTTTATCCTTCTTATCAACTTTATCATCATCAAATATGGGTCGAAGTTTATCATCCCAAGCGTAAGGTGTTCTGCGTCTTTGAGGAGTTCTTTTTATTCGTTTCTCCGTTGTGGGAGATTCAACAAACTTGACTCGTTTTTCTTCGGCATCACCACAAATGATCGTGTCGATCGATTTGTTCGGATCATTGGATGATGATGATGATGTATTATTATTTTTATTATTATTATTATTATTATTGGGCAATGAGATTGATGTTGATAAAGTTTTTGAGCTGCTATTCATATTGATACATGTGTTTCAAAGATCAAAAATAAGTGGTATAAAGAAGGCGGTGGTCCTATTTACAAATCAAATTTGTTTTCAAGAATAAAATGAAATCTCACGCTAAAATATCTTCTTTTTTTTACGCGATACAACAATGATATAATATTCAAATGACAAAAAAATAAATGGTTTTTTATTCGGAGAAACAATTTATGACAACGATGATTAAAAAAAAAATTCTTCATGTCTTTTATATATTGAAATTTTTTCAAACACATGAGAAAAAGCATTAGGTTGAACCTAATTAGAGTAAATCAACTTCCCAATTAATATTAATACTTTATGTAATGATTTTTGATTTTTCGTCACGTGCGGTATCCGCCTAAATTACGTAATTCTTTAATGCTAAAACGCAGGTGGTTTAAGGGCATTCCCGTTGGGCGTATTTCATAAACATTCAAATCTCGTGAAATGCTGCGCCACGCACATACCTATGTAGCGCGCGTCGCCTTTTAATTTATTATGTTTAAATATTATGTTGTCTTTGGAAGAAGACCCAAGAAATGAGAATACGACACATTACAAGAAGAAAAGTTATTATCTACATTACAAAATATACTACATTAAATATTTTCGTACCGAGATACCTGTCGTAACGTCAGAAAAAAAAATATGCCCCTAATTAAAAAAAAAAAGGAGACATCTATCCAGTAGATATCTTTTGATTTTTTTCTCCCATTTCCCCAATTATTTCAACCCCACACGTTCCAATTCAACGTTTTCTGATTTACAATTTTCAAAACTACCTATTAATTCACCACCTCTTAATTGTTTAACAATGGAAAGAGGGGCACCGGGACCAAAGTTTCTTGCCAATCTGTATTTAAATGTATCCTTAACTATGTCACCACCAAAATTGATTTCTAATTTACATTGTCCATTTGCGGCAATCGTAGGATACCAGACATGATCTAAACTATCCTCATCATCTTTGGGTGCAACAAAAGGATTTTTAGAAGATGCATAAGCACCGAGGTAATTCCCATTCTTGGTATAGAACACCTCTTTGGTCGATGGTTTATAGCCACATCCTATTATGTCTCCCACGTTATAGGCGGGACCATATTCTCTGGAGGATGAGATGTCGTTATGGTACAGATGACCGTCATTTGATTGATATCCAATAGAATGTTTATTCCATCCGGGTAACCTACGAACGTAATGATTGTCAATAAAAAGATAAATAAAATAAAATAAAATCAAATAATAAAATTGAAAAATGGTATTTGTAATCACCTGAAGTAAGGGTATGGTTTCGTTGATAGACCAATGGAAATGATGGTGTCAACGTCAGTGGCTTTAGACACCACGGTCACCTCAAAATAATGCATTACATCCTCATTAACCTTGTTGCTATTCCTTTTCATGTGCGTATTGGGTTTTCCTTGTGCTCTATCAATGATAGAAGTGGAAATACTATTCCTTCTTATCGTAGAAGATTTGGGGATAAAGAAAGGATAGTTTGATTGTACGCAAACGTTATTGGTAACGCTGCTCCACTTTCTGGTATTAATCTCCACCAACTTGCCATAATTTGTTATTTGCACCACCCCACTTTCGTCAACGACGTTTGCCCCTATGACGAATTTCCACGAAGAATAGGGATTTAAATAAATATTTTCATGCACCTTATATATGGAATGAACCTCTTCTTGGCTCGGTAATACATCCTTTGGTGGATTCTTAATTAAAAATTCCAAGGCTTTCCTTGATAAATCTTTAACCGGTGGAGAGGTGTGAGTTGAATCTTTTGATGGGGAGGTAGAGATTGGGGAACCATATGAAATTGGGTGATAAGCGTACGGGGGTGGTACGACGACTTGACTTAAATTACCACCTTTCGCCCCGTTTTTGTTGTTGTTGTTGTTGTTGGTAGTGGTGATGGGTGTATTCTTTTTATCTTCCGGGGATAATCGTACCGATTGTAAAGAATCATTATCAAAATTATAAAATTTCTTTTTCAACCCAAGGATATCTTTAAAGTTATTATTAGAGTAAACGTCCGTTATCCAATTATTCTCCAAATCTAATTCCGTGCTCTTGCCATCGACCGATTGTGACGTAGCGTGCGTGGCAGTGTCCACCATAATGTTTTTGTTGGTCACATTCGTTATACTTTTTAATTTTTGTCGTTTCTTATGAATTGAATAGAAGCAACATATTGTGATGGTGAATAATATCATTATTAAGAATATAAATGTGAATATACATTTTGCCGTGGTACATCTATTATTATTATCCTCATGATCACCCAGATCAATTTCTTGTGAAAATATTAATGGTAAATCAATCAAAATGACAATTAACGATAAAGAACTTAATCGAATCATTTATTCGTCTTACAACGGATATGTATACGTGATAAAAAAAAAGAGGGGAACAAAGTACTTTTTTTTTATATATATATATAATAAATATATTAAATATATTCACAACAATGAAGAGAACAAAAAAAGGAAAAAAAAGAAAATGGTTGGATCCTTATTTTTTTTTTTCCTCACCAAAATCCATTTCCGCTCATTTCATATTCCTTATATACTTTTCTCGATGATATATTCTAATGGAAAAAAAAGAACAAATAAATAAAATATATATCCTTTCCATTCTAACAATAAAAAAAGGTAAAACAAATAAAAAAAAATTTTTTTTTTATTCGTCTATTACTTGAAAGAAAAAAAAAATTAACGCGTAATTAATCTTTAGGTGCCGTGTCAATAATACATACATCCCATTCAGTAATTTTTATATTATTTGCTTTTGAAACTTAAATTCTATTAATATAAGTCTTATTATACTAATACAAACCAATATAAACCAAGCAAAAGCAAAAGATGCGAGGCGATTTATGTGCGTGGCACATCAATACCAAAATGAGAATGAAACTCAAACAATGAAAATTTAATAAGGATTAATAAGGATTATGAAAAAGAATACCACACGAATGAAAATTCAATTTAAAGTTGAAAAGAATGACAACGGTTTACGTAACACCATTGCCTGTCGTACAACGCGCATTTATGCACAATGCAAAAAAGGAAGGTTACGTGACATTGGAATTGGGCTTTCGTTTCAAAATTTATTAAATTGGTTTGTTTACGGTGGTGATGGTTGGAGCAAGTAACACCGCATTCCCTTCTTTACAAGAAAGGTGTCTCGAAATGATATGAAAAAAAAACAATTCCTCTTGATTAGATCTCATACACAATGCGATTCGACGTAATTGAGGTTTTTTTTTTTCAGATACCGAGCTACACAGCACGTGCTTTAAATGCGAAGTGGCGATCTCCTAGGAAAACGTTTCAAACAATAATAAAATAAATGTTTGATAAACTGTTACAGGTTTCAGTAAACAACATCTTTTGTATAACCGTTTCAAAAATTGCTCTTCTGACTTGAGATTAATGAATCCCGTAAAAAGTACATTTTTTTATTATCGATCTTGAAATGATGAACAGGGAATTGTCAGAACGGAGATTGTAAATACTGTAGGGAAACGAATATTCTAAAATCTAAAATCTTATACCAAGAATTTTTGATTATAAATCTACCGATTTAAGTAAATGGCTTACAAGATTTACAAGATTAGTAAGACAAAGGCCAAGCACTAGTAATAAATAAATAATGATGTTGAGGAAAAAAAATAATATATATACCAGTACATATATTATTATTTTTGGAGTGTTAAAATAATTGAAATATTTATATCTTTGGAACTTAAACTAAAATAGTATAAGGTGAATTTTTTTATAAACTTTTCTTTGTATGAGGTCTTATAATAAAATACCATTTCTGGTCAATAATTGGGCAAACAATGATCATTCTGGAAAAAAATCAATTGCATATGTATATTACTAAATTACGCATCTAAAAATATCTACTTTGCTTCCAAGTTCGAGATGGAATTATATTTACGTTTTAAAAAAAAAAATTCCCACAAATAACGTTTGTCTAAGAAATTTTTTACAGCAATGCGCAGTATTGCCACGTTTATTCATTCAATCTTCAATGGTGACTACTCGAAAAAATGATTAATGAATTTTACAAACCCCCCCGATCGATATAAAATTCTTTCCAAATTTGGATCATTGATAAAATGGTTTTACGACACAGTATTCGTTATTATACCCCTAATATTGGAGTTGTAAGATTAAATAGAAATTAATTTGATTTTCCGAGAACAATAAAGAAAGGTTCGTTGTTACCCTTGAGCTTTTTTTGAGTTTACTTTTTGACAGAAAGTTCATGTTATTATAATCTCTTCATTGTTATCAGTAGATGATTGACACGTTTCCATCTTTATTAATGGAAGATAAACGAATGCGCATAACTTTTTACCCACACTTTTGTTTAATTGTCTAATTTCACAGGATCTTACTTCGAAAGTTTTCAATAATCACTTGTTTGATAAATTTAGTAATAAGAACAATAACAGAGTCGATTTGTCTTTTAAATGATTGATTGTCATTGCATTGAAGGAAATATTGATTGAAAAGATTAAGTTCGGAGTGACTATGAGAATTAACTATAAATCGTGGGTTCAAAAAAAAAAATTTTAAATGGAGTTAAGTGTGTCCATTTTTCAAGTCAAATAATAAACAATAAATAAATTTGAATGTTTTTTTTTTTCTATGGGGCGTTTGGGATGTTCATTTTATTATTGTTTTTTATTTTGATATTTTTAACAAAATAAAGACGTTATCTTTTGAAACATGTGATTAAATACTTATTGAAAAAAAAAAAGATATTTTTAATTTAAAATATTTTCTCGAGTAGTTCTTTTTCTTTTAATCAAAAAAAAAAAAATACGAATTACATATATTATTTTCCCCCTTTTCAAGTTCTTTTAATAAAATAAACCTTGATTGAGGAAAATCACGTCTCTTCAAATATTCCATCATAAAAAAAAAATATATATTATTAATATTATATTTTTCCTACTGTATTTTTTTAAAAAAAACAAATATGTCATCATCACAAGCATCTTCCACTTTAATTCCTCCCGCAATCACATCATCAAGCTCTTTACCAACAATAATTTCATCTCCTACATCATCATCATCATTAAATCAGCATGAATCTGAATGTTCGGACCGATGCGTTTTAATGATAGCATTAATTTTGGTGCCTATAATAATTTGCCTCATCTTATTAAAATTTTTATATGTCTATTTATATAAGAAGAGGAGGACCAATTCCATCGTCGATTTAGAAAATCCGGAATCGATTAATAACAACAATCTTATTAATGCGAGTCATTTTAATGAGAACCTTGTAGATAATCAAAATTCTGAGATTTTGATGACGAATAATTTAACCAGACCGCGAAACGCATTCGTTAGGAATCGACACACGATATCTGAGAGGAGCCAACTATATCCAATCTCTGATCAACGTACCTTATTAAAAAGGACGAGAACGACAATCTCATACCTTATTTCGAACAACAAGTATAAGTTACAAAATCATTTCATAAATTCGTTAGAAAACGCCATCTTGATTGATTCGAATAATAACACCAATTCAAGACATCAACTTAAAAGTATTAAGGAGAATAAAGTCTTTGTAGAAAAATGTCCTTTATCCCCTCCCCTCTCTATATCTTTAAATTCTCCTTTGACAATTCAGCATGGAAAGGTTTTATTAGATGAAGCTATTAAAAAATTTAACAGGCCATGGGAATTTTTACCTGACGCGGTTGTAAAAGAAATGAATACCATCAAGGTGACCAATAGAGGAAGGATCATTGAAATTGATCCTGAATTCTGGAGTAGCGTTGTAAAAGACGCTTGCGTACAATCAAATTATCCATTTTACGTTCCATTACCATCAAGATTGAAGAATGTTGATGATGTTGATGCCTTGGACCAACAAGAAGAATTTGTAAATGGTGAGGATGATAAAGTAACTTTAGACGAGAAAGATGAAATGTCTGATGAGATGGATGAGGGAAATCAGAAATCTATTAGCAATCGAATCAAAAAGAAGTTTAGACAAAAAAAGAAATATCATCAACAAGTCATTCATAAAAGTCCAAAAATCGAGGAAATAATAAAAGTATATGAAGATGGAGAAGGATTAAATTATTTTGAAATTACCGTGTTAGAAAAAGAATATTCTCATACAAATATTGTAATTGGAGTTACCACGAAACCATTTCCTTGCTACAAGTAAGAAAATATATAAATTATATCTCTATCCTTTATAAATTCAATTCGTCACTTTTTAATTTTCCTCTTTTTTCAATTATATTTTTTTAAAAAAAGGCTACCAGGTCACACGGAACGTTCAATAGGTTATCATTCAAATACAGGGGAGGTTTATCAAAATTCAATATATAATGGATGGGATTATGGACCATCATGGAATAAAATTAATTACACCGTAGGATGTGGATATAAACCGCTTACGGGCGAAATTTATTTTACACTTAATGGAACATATTTAGGTACATTGTTCACTGCAGAAGTTGAACATGACATCTTATCTGAAAAAAGATATTATTTATTTCCTTCTATTGGCGCTAATGGAAAATGTAAAGTTAGGGTTAATTTTGGAGAAGAAGAATTTGTTTATAAAGATAATTATGAGAAAGATACTGAGAGAGGATCATCTATTAAATCTTATGATATTGAAAGCTCAAGTAGTCGTTATAGCGACGATGAAAATACAATTCGCGTTAAACATCCGGTAAATGAACCATTGGGAAGATGGAAAGATATCAATTTAGAAACCGATGAAAATAAGGTTTGGTGGAATACCATCGTATAAATTTATCCCCTAAAAACATATTTTTAATCATTGTAATCATTTAATCATTGTAATTATTTTTTTATTCTCTTGTATAATAAATAATAAAATGTAAATATTCTTTTAATTTATTCGATCTAAAAAAAAATCAATTATGATTATTTAAGTAACTCATGAATGTCTTATCAACATCATTAAAATTGTATACAAATATACATATAAAAGGAGATAAACATGTCTAAGAATTATCATCATTTAGATTTTGATAAATAAATAATATAGTTTATCATATTATCAACACATCCCTTATGGATTCTTAATCTTAATTTACTTTTATTGATATTATCAAAAACATTATCCCTTATTCTCTTTCTAAACTTATTGATTCTTTAAACTCATCTTTAATTTCAATATTTAGGAGTAAGTTTAAACATTTAATTTATAAAAGTGTCTAGTTTTATTATTTTTTATAATTTCTTTTTCATACAAATTTTTTTAAAATTTGATATATGGGAACGTTTCCAGTAAAATCAAGTTATGAGGCATAGTAAATCATATGATCCGTAATGTGATTTTACTGGAAACGCTCCCATATAATACATAAGTATTACCTTTTTATTCATTTTAATGAATTTTAAATATATATTCTTGAATTTTTTTGCATAAGTTTGTCTTTTTATCAATTTCTTAAAATATATCACTCTTTTGAATCATTTGCTTTTTATCTATTTCAGCTCATAAAATATACTATTGTCAAATTTTTTCATATGTTTTTCAGTAATTCCTAAGTATAAATAACTAAGAAGTTATTATGATAAAATCAAATAATTTTATAATAATATAAAGATCTAAATTTTTTAACTTAATTAATTAATCTTTATTTATATAAATAAACAAATAGATATTTTATTTATTAGAAGCTATTTCTAATTTATTAAGTATAAAAATGTTATATTATTTCTTTTTAAAATTTACAGTATATAAATCCTAATTATAATTTTATCTACTTTTAATAATATAATATTATTAATTGATTTTTAACTAAATCAAAATAAAAAACCTAAATTTTTATCAATGAAAATATAAATTTTTTGTTTTTATTTTATTATTAATATAAAAAAAATGTAAATTCTTAATAGGATTATTTTAATTTAACTGTTTAAATTTTTTTACATTAGACCAAATCAATTAAAATATTTGTTTAATATAACATATAAAATTATAACTAGGGGGAAAGGGATATGAACAACAATAAGTAAAGTTAAACAAATAATAAATTTTTATTTAAATTAATTTAAAAATTTAATATATATAATTCATATATAATTCACATTTTTATTTATAAAGTTTTATTATAAAATAATAAAAATATATTAATTATTAATACCTCTCTTTCTTTTGGTATTAATTTTAATTTCAATTCGTGTAAAAAAATCTTTTCCTTCACTTTGACATGTATTAAATAAAGGAAATACAAATTTATATTTAGAAGTTAAACATGTTGGAAAATCTACTAATCCTTGATCATATCCACACCAATAACATATAGATGGATTGTTTTTACGTGATGAATAATAATTTAACTTGATTGGTGATTCACATGATATTTTTTCACGAATATATAAAATATTATAAAGTTTATGATTTTCAGGCACTAAAGGAAATCCACAGCTATAATCCCAATTATTAATAATGCATTGAAATAAGGATTTTTGTGTAGTAGTTAATGCTTTTTCACTATATAAATATTGAAACTTTCCACATTGAAAGCATTGTATAATATCACAGACTTTTGTGTTTGTAAAAATAGTTGATGATACTTGTTCTACATTCTCTATAGCTACCATTAATGTAGGATGATATTGCTCTGTAGTTGTTTTACCATATACATTTTTAAAATTAGCATAATGATCTTTTTCTACTATTAAATACAAAAAATATTAAAATTTGTAATGATTATTATTATTAAAAAATTAATAATTTAAGTAAACTTACATTGTGCAGGTACTGGATCCATAAGAAAGCTAATATTATCAAATATATCTTGTGGAAGACGAATTATATCACATATATTGCAATTTGTATTATTACATTTTTTAACCTATATATTATATAATTTAATTTTAATATTATATATATTTAATATTAATTTTAAATATTAAAATATACCTGAAAACTATAATGACGAATTTGACAATGCATTTGTATAAATTCCTTAAGATCAGTTTTCTTTGAAAGAATATCTGCGGTTGTGTTAGAACTTTTCAATGTTTTATCAATAGAAAGAATTATCTTATAAAAATAAAATTTAATTTAATAATAATTAAGGTTGCTTGTCTAAACTCATTTTGGATTTGGCAAAACGGTTAAACCTTTAGTTTTGCTAAATTTTTACTAAGTGTTTGATATAGTTTCGCCATTTTTATAAGCTTTGATATAGTTTTACCTTTTTCCAAATTTTGCAGATTTTTTAATAAGGTTTTAATATAATTTAACCAAGTTTTACTTTTACCATTTAGACATCTGTTTAAACTCTTAATTTCGTCTAGCAACCTTAATAATAATATTATTTTTCAATTATTAATAATATACTATAAAAATTACCTTAAAAAATTCCTGAATAGCTTCTTCACTAGCAGATTCATAAGATTTAAAAGGTATATTATGTAAAACCAATCGTTTAGTTCGTGTACGTAATAATTGTTGAACATTACAAATACAATTCTTTAATTCAACTTTAAGATCTTGATTTTTTTCAGCAACTTTCTAATGTATTAGCCTTTCTAAAAAGTTCTTCTAAATGTAAACTCATTGTATCTCGCATAATTGCAACTCCTTGAAGACCTAAATTAATTATTGACATTATTCATTTTGCTGGATTTGCCCAACTATGATGAGAAGCAGTACGTAATGCAATAAGAACATCAAAGTCACCACGAAAAAATAGACAAAGAAAAAATATTTGAACTGAACCAAAAGTAATTTGATGATCAGGACTACCATCTGTGTAAAGACAAAGAATAGGAGGTATATTAAAATTATAATATATTTGAATTGCATTATAAAATTCTATTGCATGTCTAATTGCACTGCTAGGTTGGAAAAGAGTATCTTTATATGAAACAAAAACTTTGTCATGATAAAAAGAATGCTCAATGGTTTCGGGAATATCAATAAAAATATTACAGATGGAGTAAGAGATAATTTTGTGAAATCAATATCACTTGCTATAAGGGTAGTATTTGCGTTAACCATGCTTTTTTTTTATTACGTATTCCAGTTGATGTAGCTACACCTTCTCCAATTGGTACTTTATGCTTGTCATCTGCAGAAATGAAACAAATATAATTACGATGAAGAATAGCAAATTTATGTAAATATCGAAATAAGCAAGCACAATAAGTGCATCTGGATGATCTTTACGTAATTTCCTAACTTGAACTTAGTACTTAATATTGAAATGACCAGTATAATGCATTGCTGCTGCTGAAGTGGGATTAGTTGGCCAAAATTGAAGTTGAATCCATTCTTCACATGGGATATTAATATTTAATGGTAATGATGAATTATATTTAATTTCCAATTGTTTTATTACAATTTCACATAAATCCTAAATTGAAATTGCTAATAGCATATATAAAATAAATTCATGTCATCTATCATCAACTGCTGGAGCATACTATATATTAAAATAAATATTAATAATTAAATAAAATAATATATTATTAAGTTATAAAGATAAAATAATATAATAACATATCACCTCATTAAAATATGCTTCTATTTCATCCCAAAAAATATAAAATCTTTTGCCTTTAAAACTACTATTAATTCGCAAATCAACAATAATTGATAGATCTTCAATCATAAGTATAATTCATAATTGCTCTTCAATTTCTTTACTAATAGCATTTGAGGTTACAGATGCATCACCAGTTAAATCATAATATAAGATACGGAGTAAAGCCGAAGGTACTTTTTTTATAAGAGAATACTTTAAAAAAATTAAAAATAAATATAAGGTTATTAATATAATTAAATAAAATTTTTATTAATTCATTAATTCATACTTTATTTAACACATTTTTTTCATTTGACGCGTAAAATATTTTGGTAAGTTTTTTGAATTATTAATATTATACGTGCATATTCCGATTCTGATCATTGATTTAATGATAATGGAATTTTCCATATATAATTAAGAGTGCCAAGATAGTTACCCTGATGATACTGATAAATTGTTATAGGAAAATTAAACCGCAAGTCTTTAATATAACAATATTTTTGTATCGGATCAGATGGAACATATTCTTCAAAATCAAAAAACTCATATACATTTTTTTCAAGCAAAAAGTCTAATAGTTTTTGATATTTAGTGTTGATTTCTTGAGACCCTTTGATAGTATATACTTGCAAATCTTGATTCAAATTTTGTGTCACTAAACTATTATTATGATGGACATTCATTTCAGAATTAACTCTGTATAAATATTTTGCATATTTTTTTATTATATTTGTTAATTCAAACACTTGTAAAATAAATTCAATCCATTTTATTTCACTTGCCTATGGTTGTCCAATTGAAAGTTCTAATGATTGTGCTAAATGCTTAAGTTTGTCTTTTCTAAGTGATTCTTTTTTATGATGTCCGGTAAAATAAAAATTATTATAATATTTGTCACATTGATATAAATTCAATTCTTTAAAAGTATTCGGAACATTTAATGAACGAGCAGCTAATGTACTATAATGTGGATCAATATACCAAAGAAGGGCTACAAGACTGTTCACAAATGTTTTTGCAAAGTTTTCCTGATTTCCACCCCAACCACCTTTTTGTTTTTTTAACAATGCTATAATATCATTATATAAAACATCTCTTTATGTATCCTTTCTTTTTGTTGTTGGAAAGTATGGTTGACAGGCGTGTTCCATCATAACATCAAATGCAGTTTATTCCGGTAGTTCTATTGGTTATGGTGGGTCATCGAGTTCTTCAGTTTGTACAATAAATCGTATGTATTTTAATCCTAGCTCTGACATTAAAGATATTTCATCATAAAGTCCTTTTTTGAGATAATTCCACTTGCCATTCCCTTTTCTACATAGACTTTTACATTCCGGTTGCCAAATATGCCTTCAGTAGTTGCTTCATATATTTCGCCAAATATACATGCATTCTCAGCTACTTTAATAATTTGCTGACTGATTATACTTTTTTGTCTTTCATTAACATTAACAAAAAAGTGTATCATATTTAAAAATTAGGAAAAGCAACCAAAGTCACGAAGTTACGATGATGATAGAACTGAAAAAAAATATTAAACACATCAAACGCAAATTATATATATATCATTTTTTTATGCTGCATTTTACTATGATTGAATATATTAAAATTTGATAAAGCTTTGCAAAAGGAGAAATTTTATGTAAAAAAAAACGGTGTGTTGTATAGATCCTTAAAAATTGAACACAAAATCGTAACATTGATAGATAATCAACATTTTATTTTATAATACTTTATGTAGATCATATATAATCATATACTGTATATAAATTAGTGTTGTTCAAGACCTATTTTGAAAAATGAAAGAAGAGGGTTATGTTAAACAAACCTTTTACTTGGTTTGGCCTTATTAGATATTAAAAAGTTTTAGTTAATAATATTATTTTAAAAAATATAATTCATATTATTAATTGCCAATTCAGATATGATCAGCAGAATTTTGATATAAAAATTCAAATAAACTTTTCATTATTACACATTTTCACTCAAATAGTAAGTTGACGCAAGTTGCTTTTATATGTACAAAAATTATATAGTCTAATGCAAAAAAAAAGTCAGAGAACACGAAAATGCTATAAAAAATCATATGTTGATAATATTTTTAACGACTTTACTATGTACGAATGCTGGATTTCAAATAAGATTGCAAATTTATATATGAAATTTTTTATAATGAAAGTGGTATAAATTTGTTTATGTGGAAGTTTTAAACGACTCCAGAAGTTAAAACAACATAATTTTCTTGTAAATATTTACTTTTCTTTAGAATTATGGTAAGTTTCTTTGTGAAATTTGAAGGTTTATTTTTTTTGTCCATTTTTTAGAATGGTTCACTTTTTATCTCGTTTTCGTAGTAAGTTTTCTTGTGTATTCAAATTAAAGGTGGGAATATTTCAGTTCAAGGTGAAAAATTGTTTTTTTATTTGTTTTTTTATTCTTTAATAACTGGTTTCTCTTCCTCTTGAACTTCATGGTAGTATTATTTTTTTTGTGAAGTTCAGAAGTGTGATTTTTACTGGCTTTAGGTATTTTACAAAACAGAAATAAAGAAGACCAGATACAAATAAACACATTGTTTGATTTAGGACACGTAATACTACATACAACACTAAATTTTTGTGATAAGTTTCTCTTTGTGGGATTTGAAGAAAGAATTTTTTATCTATTTTCAGTTATTGATCTTTATCTTTTTATTTATTTTTATTTAGGAAATGTTTGCACTTTTTTTTAGTAAAATTATTCTTTGCGAGATGTGGGAATTTTTATTTAATCTAAGGATAGTTTATTTTTTTGTGGGCGAAACTTATTGTTTTTTATTATTTATTCAGTTTATTGTTGTTTAGGTTTAGTTGTTATTGATTTTTATTATTTATTATAATCATGTGATAAAATAATTTGAAACGTTCTTACATTATATAATTGAAAACAATTCTATCATTAGTGTTGTTTGATCTTTATTATACTAAATTTTAAAGAAAACAACAATTCATTATAATAAATGTTCATTTATCAGATAATTCCACTTCTTCAAGAAGTCATAATGCCATAGTTTTTTTGAATGACTGTGAAGTGCTTGTTATCCAGTTTGCAATTGTGAGAATTTTTGGCACATCATCTTTAGAAATTTCTCCATCAGCTATCCTTTTCAAAAGTTCCTCATGCATCTCACTAGCATTCATTTTCAGCCTAGAATTAGCTGTACCGGTATGAAGCATTATAGTAAATAATTTCTTAACACATTCTGTAATTCGTTTAGTTAGACTTTTTTGATTTACTTTTAATTTTTCTGTTAGAGCCCACCTGCAAACAAATACAATAGCGCTAAAAGTAGCAAAAGATCATGAATTTAGTTATGATAAAATTTCAAATACAATATCAATACAAATTTACCTTTGTGATGTTGGATTATTCTTTTCTTTGATTTGTTCTCCTCTACATATTTTCTAACATTTTTTTTTATCAAATATTCTGACCAAATAGAACTTTATATATATTATATTATTTTTACCTCAAAGTTTATTTGATTCGCCTGAGAATTTTCTTTGTAATCTACAAAATACCATTAATTACTAAAACAAATAATTACAAATAATTACCAGTTTATATATTATTTTGAAAAACAACCTTTGTGATGCCAATGGAATGATCTATGATTCTGAAGGTTGTGTATGTGTTGTATAACTTGGATTTGGCTTTTCAAAACTGTGTGTTTTTGTAATTTTATCAATTTGACCAAATGCGATCTTATTCTACTTACCAAATTCTGGTAATACACGTGTACATATATATCCAACATCCTTTCTGATCTCAAGCCAAGTGAATTCATGCTAGTTTGATATTCAATTAATCATTTTTAACTTCCCTTTTTCTATTCAAATGATTATATTATTCTTTTTTTTTTATAAAAAAAATAATAAATAAAATAAAAATATTTACCTTTATTACGATTTGATTCAAGATAAGATACATAGTACCTGAAAGATCCTTTATAGCATTTTCAATATCTTCTTCTTCTTCTAATTCATGTCCAACTTTTACCCATCTTTTTATTGCATGCGAAATCTACAACAATAATAATACAATACATAAATTATTAGTAATATTTAAAAAAAATGTAATATTAATTCATACTTGAGCGTGATGAGAATCTATGATAGTTTTTGCTTCTTCTGCTTCTAAAAATAACCATCTATGAGGACTAATATTATACATTCCTTCTAATGGCTCATGATAATCATTAATTCTGTGTTATGATAATGTCTACCATTATCTAATACAATCATGATCCATTTTTGTTTTTGTTCTAAAGTTTCTATTACAGTATGTAATGAGGATGCAGTGAACTATATATCCTGATGAGTATCTCCAAACCAGTGTTCAAAAGCTTATACATCTAAGTTATTATTTTCAATATTTTTTGTATATACAAGAACAGAATTAAGCGTACACCCCTTTTTTCAAACCACTCATTTTTTGTTTTACAGGCTTTTTTTGAAAGAATCTTCATCTTATAATCTACTATTATTAATGCTCCATCCAAATCAAGCTGAGAAAATTGAGCATTAAACTGTGTATTGAGATAAGATTTGCAAGCATGATGTGCCATAAAATTAATCAATTGATTTTGATAATTTGATAATGTTTCCTGCTTTTCCTCTTCAAGATTTT